CGTGGCTCAGCAACTGTTTGATGATACTGTAAGCACTACACAGCGCAGGAAGAGCTAATATTCAGATGCATTTTTTCTAGCACCAGCCTAATTAATTTGTACTTCGCTTGCTTTATGCAGATGTCCGGACTCTGGGTTTTGACTGATCTAAATCTGACGCCTGTTCTGCTCTTTCCTATGTTTCTAGATCACTAGCTTTTTCCTGATCATTTCATGCTTGCACCTCATCCCACATCCTCCCGGTTCGAACAAAATCGCTTTCTTTCCAAATAGCTGATTTGTTTAACATCACTCAACGATACCGGGCACACATACTGATTTATCCCCGACCGATAAACCATTAGAAAACCGATCACTTATAACTGGCACTCTGCCGGAGCGTAACAAACCTCATCCAGTTTCTTAACAGCGATATCGATAAGCCTGTACTTTTCGGTCAATTTTGAACAAATTGTCTGTTTCCTTGTCGTTGTGTTTTCGTCGCCTACCAAACTGCACACACCGCTGAAAAATGCAATCACGTGTAAAAAGTGCGTATGAAATTTCATAACATTTTGGTCATCAGATTTAGCCAACTTTATCCTTGGTATCAAAAGTATCCACGAAACAGTTTCTTATTTTCGTCAAATCAATGCTGCCTTTTCTGTTTTATACCATTTCTCGACCACTTTTTAATGTGGATATAACCGTTCTTGACTGGTAGAGCCTTTCTTGACTTTAATGCAGTCATTCATTTCACCTACTGATTTTTCTTCTTTTATTTTGCTCCTTTGATTACTGGAGGCATTCATTTACTTTGGAAAGAGGTTGGCACAGCCTCACGCTTCTCGAACGTGCTTCCATTTAGCTAGAACGCAATTTTATTTTCCCCCATAATCAACGCCGAAAAATATGTAAAGAATAAAGATACGTGTTGAAAGGATCGATAAATTAACGTCGCGTTGAAAAGATCGATAAAATCAACCTTTCCAAGGAACGATATCTGGTTGATAATTCCGGTGCAACACTGCCGCCATACCTAAATGAATTATCCGAACTGTACTTGTTGCTTGCATATGCTGTGGCTTGCTTCGGTACTGTGAAATTCCTAAAACGTTAATGCTCCAGAAAATTACGTAGTCGCAGACATATTTCTCAGTTGTACTACTGTAATCGCAGTTAATAGGACTGCGAAAAATAAATGACCAGTCAGTGGCTCTTCGAAGAGGAAACGTACATAAGTCGAACAGGCGATGAATATCAACTACAGGTATGCAGTTCAGGGAAGATGGACTTAGCACAGCTGAGCCTGGCATATGAAACACCTTTATAGTATCACTAACATGGGATACCTATACAGATTGTCTCAATATTCACAACTTGGCAATTCTCAGATGTTACCAAATGAATTGCTCATGATAAACCTAAAATACAGATATTTACCTAAAAGCAATTTCAGGCTCTCTAGCTCTGGATTACTACTTGTCTTTGGTTGTTATTTGCCATTTTCATCAAGCAAGCACACCACCTTTTTGATGGCTGTTTAATGGTTGGGTGGATTTGGTG